TGTGTGTATGTGCATGTGTGTGTGCGTGTGTGTGTGTATGTGTGCGTGTGTGTGTGCGCATGTGTGTGTATGTGCATGTGTGTGTGCGTGTGTGTGTGTATGTGTGCGTGTGTGTGTGCGCATGTGTGTGTATGTGCATGTGTGTGTGCGTGTGTGTGTGTGCATGTGTGTGTGCGTGTGTGTGTGTGTGCGTGCATGTGTGTGTGCATGTGTGTGTGCGTGTGTGTGTGTGTGCATGTCCAGGTGGTGCATTGTGTTAACAGACAGAGATAATAATCTGTGAGGAAATCGCCCAGGCTGCGTCTGAGGCAGACGGCTCTCTGTGACCCAGTCACCCCGCTCCTATCCGTCACGGTGTCCTCCCTACGACTTTTCACCCCGTGATCCTGCTGTCCTGCTCGCGAGGGCGGCAAAACAAGCCGTGGGCTGTGCCGGACATATTGAGCTGGTTTGAGGAGACCCCCACCCCAAGCAACCATAAACGCAATGGCTGCTCTCCTCCAGGCCTCACCGAACGCACCCACACAGCCCCCACCCCCACCCCACTCATCTCTCCATCTCTCCTTCCCTTGATGATTCTCCCCAGTTTGCGCCTGAACGAGGTCACCCTGCCTGGCTTGGATCCACTGATGGAGAGTTACTCATCGGTGAGTGAAGATCACTGGTGAAAGACAGTCCAACCACCCCCCCAACCCTACCCCCAAGCATGGTAATGATAAGATAAAACACAACGCCCTCTGCAACAAGGCCCCCCCTTGTTCCACACGGCTCATCTTTCCCTCCGTGGCCCCCGTGCCCTCATCGTGCTGTGCATCCCGGCCTGCGCTGATTGAACTTCATGCCTTGTAGGCCTGTTGTGTTTATTTATTCGTCTTGTCTGTTGTGATGCTCCGATCCCACGACGTGTTGTGCCGCAGTGTGAATGTCACGTACGAGACTGTTAACTAATGCTCCCATTTGTTAGAAAGTTTCATTCTTTCCACAACGGGTAGTAATTTGTTATTTCTTTTGTTTATAAGCTCTCATATTATCAAAATTAGGGCGGAAAGTACACAGTTTCTTCCCCCGAAGCCCAGAGGAAATTACTGGAGTGAGGATTTAGTGGTCGGTCACGGTGGGCGAGTGCAGCCAGAGACGGATTCACGTAACCTTTTCGCTACATTTCCAGCATGAAATTTGAAAATGACCAACTGGCATTTTGCTGCACCGTCTCGAGGAGGATGAACAAATCCGGGGATAAGCAAAGCAAATAGCTCTGGGCTCCTGGCGACTTAATGGATGCTTCTTGTCGCTCAAGGAACAGCAGGTCTGTGAAAGCGGTGAAGTGCCAAAAATAGCTTTCTAGTTTCTTATGGGGACATCAGCATGTGATGGAAAAAGACACAGAATCCAGCTATTAAGGATTATCCCACCATATACATCCCAATGCTTTTAGACACGACTGGTGAGTTGGTGTAGCTAACACAGTCAGGCTTTGATTTTGGGATACTTCATTACACAGCGATTAACCCAAACGTGCCCCCCCCCCCCGCCGCAGTAAATGGAGAAACACCATCCCAGTCCTTACTGCTCTCCTTTCCACCCGTGATGAGACGCCTCTCACCAGAGCGATGCCAAAGCTTTTAGCGTACACTCACTGCCTCCCTGCTCCAAACACGCTGATCTACAGAACCCAGCGTAGCTCTGGATGGGGCCCGCCGGGACGCATTGCAGCTAAGCGGGCTCTGGGCTTACGGTGGCCCTGCACGGATGCGTTATTGGCATTCCTCTGCTTTTCGCCGTGGTAACGGGAGGCCGGAGTGCCCCTGCACGCGGGAGGCTCTGGCAGACAGCTTTCCAACCAACTCTGCCGATAAACATTGGTCCCATGATCAAACAGCCACCATATGGCCCCTAGCAGGAGATCAGAAATCCCTCTCCCTCTCCCCCCTCTCTCTCCTTCTCTCTGCATCTCTTTCCCTCCCTCTGTCTCTCTTCCTCGTTCTCGGAGCCTGCTCCCACAATCCCCAGCTCTCTGATGAGAGCTACACCCCCGCGTGTCACATTTAAGGAACAAATACTGCAGTTCAAAAGCTACAGTTTACAACAAAATGGGATATTGATGTTCTCCGGGCTTATGATTCAGATGAGAGAGCTCCTTTGAGGTGTCACATCCTGCTTCGCCGCGTGTCCTCAGAGAGATGGCGAGACAGCCCAGTGAAATGAGCTTTCCTCGATCACCACGGAGGCGGGGAGATCCCAGGCCCCCCCCCCCCAATGGCACACAACTGCAGCCAGCCTTTGCTTGGACTTACTCCTGCTAAAAGTCCAGTAATTTTGTCTGTTAGAAGTCCATTCATCTCAAACTCCAGGACTCCATTATCCAGTATGAGGACCTTTACCGTCATTGGCTGAGTTTGTTTGATTGCGTTTTCCTTTTTTTCCGATCTCACGTTACTTTAAGATCAAATGGCCCCTTCCCAGTAGGGAATGTTAGCTGCAGCAGTAAGTGGATAAGGGTCTAACCCTGTTCATTAGGCACCTTGGTCAGCTCAGGCCAGACAGGGAGGAGATACACTTTTAACAGGAGAGCTTCACAACCTCCAGGAGAAGGAGAAGGTGTGTAGGAAAGTTCAAGATCTCACATCTCTGACTGCATCCAGGCCAACACCCGAATCGTACTGCTCTCACACCATCGTCCATGTTTGTCATCGAACTTTCAGAGCGTGTCTCTTCATCATCGGTTGTGCCCTGTAAATGTCTCTAAAGTCATGGCCCACATCTCCAGGCCCCTGTAACCCTGACCTGTGAGCATCTTACACAGAAGGAAGCAAATAGCTTGAGTGTCGGCAGCGCCCCCTGCTGGGTTGCTGCATTTGTAGCGTATCGGGTAATATTCGCCCAAAGGAAGCTTCAGCACTTTGCGGTCCTCTCTGAGGCTCAGATCCTCTCATCTCCGAGCCAGGCTGTGTTTACATTGTCATCACTGTGAGCCCAATGCCAGGGCTTGCAGAAGATGCCCCTCTATCTGACTGGGTCGTCACTAAAGGTCCGGTCGAGACTGTAGTATGGTGGGCCCTTTGGCTGACTTTCTCAATACCCTCCAGTCGCTCCTGCAAGGAGGAAACGGCTTCATATCTCTTCCCGCTATTAGCCTTAATGGGCATCTTTCTCTCAGTCAGCCTTTCTTTGCCACCTAAAGCA